TCAGCTTTTCCCTATTTCACATCGATTTATTTGTCATGTCGTATGGTCTACTTGGTCCTTCCTGACACAGTCCAAGTCACGCCCGGGGGCAGTACATCCTCGTCCTTCCTTGCGACCCACCGTATCGGTGGGAAGAACGAAATTACCATATTAGAAAATTGACCAACCGGTACAGAGTTAGGACATGTCATGTGCCGGTATACTGTATCACATATGCCGTGGTGCCTCTTTCCAACCACCTGATTCAACCACTCCGCTGGGTGGCATTAACTGTGGTAACTAACACACCTCTCCTCTATCGCTTTTTGTCGCATTCACCACCCACGAACACGTCGCACGTATGTTTTCCATCTTACCAAGTTTAATATTTACTCCCACTTCTTGATATTTAGAAGGAGTTTTCCACCACTTACCGTATCGTAACTTAAATAAATCAAAACAATAAATAATTAGAGGAAAAGAATTTGAAGAACAAAAGATAAGAAAGAGAGTTTGTTGTGTCCCGCCAAATCTCCTGGCCCTACGTAGCAAAAAGAATACTTCGGACCCACCATTTATCTAATCCACCGACGAGAAGACGAGATCTGCGTAACACCGAGTCATATACGTCCTTTCCCTTGTGTGTTGGTGGGGTCGGAGCACACGTGTCACTGGGAGAAAAAAGCCCGCTCGCTGGCTGAGCTGTATCACACAAGGCGCGAGAGAGGCGAGCTCCGCTCCCGCCGTCACTGACACTACACCTATTAGGTCCTCACCCTGCGACACGCCTCTCTCTCTCTCTCGTATCTTCCGTTCGCAACGATTTCGCTCTTCCTCAGTCTCATCACCGCGCCAACATAAATTGAAATATCATGAAGCGGTTCCCCTTCGCGTCAGCCTGTTTACCAAGAGATGGATTCGATAGAAAAGAGAAGGAGGCGGCTCAAAATAGAAAACCGCAGAAATAGAATAGATAGAGGATGGACTCGCCCCCCGTTCATCTCAACAACGCGCCACCGCCTCCGCCTCAAGCCACCTCTCCTTGCCGCGTCAGGCTCATGGTCAGCTACGGTGGTCGAATCCAGCCCCGTCGCTACGACAACAGTAGGCTTTCTTACGTCGGCGGAGAAACCAAGATCCTCTCCCTTGACCGCTCCGCCCGCTTCCCTGCCCTTCTCTCCAAACTTGCCTCCATCACCGCCTTCGTGAGCCCACTCTGCCTGAAGTACCAGCTCCCCGGTGAGGATCTCGACGCCCTCGTCTCCGTCACCGACGACGACGACCTCGACCACTTGATGGCCGAGTACGACCTCCTCCATCGCACCTCCTCCACCAAGCCCTCGCCCCGTCTCCGCCTCTTTCTCTTCCCCGTCGGTCCCCCTCCCCCGCGCCCCTCGGCGGCCCTCCTCGACGCCGCCCGCTCGGAACGTCAGTGGTTCCTCGATGCCCTCAACGCCGTGCCAGCCCCACCCTCCCCGCCGCCTGCGCCGCCCACCACGCTGGATGCCTCGCAGAGCCCCGACTTCCTTTTCGGCCTCGACCATGACTACCTCACTACCGCAGTGGGTAAGGTCACCGCAGATCCTCAGTCCCTGTCGTCGGTGCTGGAGAATCTTCCCCTCGAGGCGCCAACGAAGCCCGATCTGGTCAAGGATGAGAGCGGAAAACCAATCGCGGGAGGTGCTGATTCGGTCGCCGCTTCTCCCGCCGTGGTATCTACGGGGGAGATCCAGCGACAGAGTCCGGATCTTGATAAGCCAAAGATGGCCGATAATCCTCCGCCAATGGTCCCGTGCAACAGCAGCGAGGAGAACCTACCTAGGGTAAGAGCACCGGAGGTCATCGCTGCGCCGCCACCCTCGACGGCAGTGTACTGGCAGGAGCAGCGCGGAGGTGCATCGGTCGGAAGGTACGCCTTGTCGGCTCCCGTCGGCGATCAGACCGTGTACCTAATTCAGGCGTCACCGGCCGGCTACCCAGCGATCTACACTGCAGCGCCAAGAGTGGTGCCGGCGAAGGCCTTCTGCGAGGCTGCGGCTCCCGGTCTGGTATCGACGAAGCTGGTGGGAGGCTGTGGCAAGCTGATGACCCGGCTGGAGGCATACGCAGCAGCAACAGCGGGGCAGGTGGCGTACGATAGAACGGAGCGGGTGGTTTACGACCCGAGCGTCGCACCGACGTATCAGACGGTCACGAGCCCTCGATCCCGCCGATGCGGCCGTTAGAGCTACGAAGGCGTCAGAGATATCTCGATCGACTCCGGAGAAAAAACAAATAAACATAGGTCTCTATTCCTCTTCTTTGTTCTGTTCATTCCTTTCTCTTCTTTTCCCCTTCTTTTTTTCTTTCTTATCTGTATATTTGTTTTTCGAGAAAATGTTATTGCTGGTGAGTTGGTTTTTTTTTTTTTTTTTTTTTTTGGGACCCCTCTGGGCTTTAGAACGTATGTAAATATGGAGATTTTTAGTAGTCAGTAGGTAGATGAGTAAGTGTGTGAGTGAGACTTTGGGATATTTCTGTGTCGGGTGCCGGCGTGAGTGCTTTTAAGGCTCACGATAATGATATTTGGATATTTACTTGTGGAAGTGTAGTGCAAGAATTGTACGGTCGGTATTCGGTTTCATATCATGGCCAGCATATTCTGTTCCCCAACCTTTTCCTCACCTTCGCATCGAAGAAACTGTCCCTGCCAAGTCCTTTTCTACGTGTCCATTTGGTCTGGAGTCCAAATGTACCGGTAGAAAGAAAAGAGGACCAAAGTAGGAACGGACGATGGATGAACATGAATGAGAGGAGACCATGTAACCTCGACAAACTTGAATGAGTTCCTACACGCGGCTACTCAAGCTCAGGTTCGAACGGCGCACTCTAACCGCCACCGACCCCATATCTCTCCGGGCGTACGCCGGCCTTCGTTCAACGGCCCCGCGACGCGGCACCCGAATCCCTCTCGTTGGCCCCTTTGCCCTTTCCTCCGCCGCCCGCGCTGCTGCCTCCGCCGACGACCACCACCTCGTCGGCGGCCTCCACGTCGTCGCCGTTGTCTGTGGCCTCTACGTCCACGTCGTCGTCGCCGCGGCCATCCTCGACTCCTGCGCCAAATGCGGCGACGTGCATTCGTCCCGTAGGATGTTCGACGCAATGCCTCACAGAAACATTGTCTCTTGGAATGCTATGATCTCCGGCTACGCGAACGCCGGGTCGGGCGTCTTGGCGCTGGAGCTGGAGCTGTTTCGACTTATGAGATGCTCCGAATTCCAGTTGGGCGCTGATTGAGTACACAGTGGCGAGCGGCCTGACCGCATGCTGGGGGATTAGTGATATGTGGACTGGTGCTCAGATTCATGGCTATGCTGCGAGGGCAGGATTCGAGACAGACCAAGCGGTGGTGAGTGCCTTGGCGAACATGTTCTTTAGGTGTGGGGACGTTGAGAGCGCGCAGAGAGCTATGGAGGGGAGAGAAAATTCTTGCTTGAGTTCTGAACTCATGATGATTAAAGGTTATGTTGCCAATGGCAGGTATTCTGATGCTCCTGAGTTGGTTGTTCGGTGTGCCTTGGAGATCTTGTGGATATGATTGCTATGGACAGCAGTGTCCTGGTTTCCATTTTAACTGTGTCTGCTCATCTCGGGTTGCACAGAGTTGGGAAGCAGGTCCATGGTCATATCGTTGCACTGGGCACCGGTGAGTATGGCTCTTTATGTACCGGTGATAATGCTGTTCTTTGGAGCTGTCATGGAAGCTCGTTCTGTGCTTGACGGTTTTACGTGAAAGGCATGTTGCTTGCTGTAACTCGATGATCATTGGGTACATTTGTAATGGACTAGAAGAAGTTCGTTGGTTCTTCGATGGCATGACCGACTATGTCCAGCAAGAATTGCCGCAAGAGGGGTTGAGTTTGCTGGCTAGTTTGTACCGTGAAGATGGATTGGTTCAGTGTCTTTCACTGGCAATCAGATCCATGCTCAAGCTCTGAGGACAGGAATTCAAGATGGTCACAATTCTGTGGTCATAGAAACAACTCTCGTTGACATGTATGCCAAGTCAGGTGACAAACTATGCACGAAGAGTCTTTGATAGGATGGAGAAGAAGAATGTACTGTCTTATACATTGCTCTGTCCAACATTTATGCAGGTTTTCGGAGAGGCGTGGAGGAAGCAAGGTGTTGATGGGGAGCCTGGACCGAGCCAAATCCAAGTTGCAGCTGGTACTTTGGATGTAGACGATCATGCAATTCTATGTATGTGCTTTATATCATAAAACTTTAAACCAAGGTAAATTTTTGCCACTTAACTGAAAGATATCTATGTACTGAATGGTGAAGAACTCTATGTTGAAGGTTTGAGGTCATTGGTATTTTATCTGAGTTGCTGTGGGTTAAACACCAATGAGGTGCTGTGTCCAAGCAATTACAACGGATGCCGATATTGTGAGATTGTGGTCTGTCATTTCACTCGTTGCTGGTCATCATATTACCTTCTGTGCCTACATAGATGTGAATTTGATGGTACATTTTCTTATGTTGGTCGTGCGTATCCATCACAAGAGATCTCAGTTGCTTGAGTGCAGTTTATGTTTCCAGACTCTGATTCAGTTGTATGACTCTGGTTTCTTCCTATACTGCTTTAAGTTCTACAAAGAGTTGAGCCTGCCTAGAGAGTTGACCACCGTTCTACCTCGCTAAAGGAAGCAGAAAGCCCAAAGGTTAATAGTCCAATCTTGGATGGCTTTCTCGTGTTATGATGACTTTTCTAAATAAGAAAAAGAGGTATTTATCACTTTAGTATTTTTTTATAATAGGTCAACGTTGATATATTGTTTTTCTTTTGGCTTTCCGTGAGAGTATACCTTTTGTTTTAGTTGTTGCCTCAACGTGTCTTTCTTGTCTGAATTACATGTTGACGCGTTCATATTGTCTCCCTGCCCCCACGCTTTCTTTTTATTCTTCGACGCTAAGCAACTTAGCCCACGGTCTTCCCTCTTGCGTTTGGAAACATATATATATAGCAAGAACCGGTTCTCTTTCCTTTTAATTCACTTTTTACGCATCATGCAGAGAGGAATGCCAGATTCATCGCGATCGACCGATCTATCTCGGATGGCAGACTCGGGTATCGAGAGGCTTCCCGAGGGATGCATCGCCCAAGCCATCTCCCTCACGTCCCCCCGGGACGCCTGCCGCTCCTCCGCCGTCTCCTCTGCCTTTCGCTCCGCCGCCGCCTCCGACACCGTCTGGGAACGATTCCTGCCCTCCGATTGCCACTCCATCCTCTCCCGCGCCGTCCACCCCGTGGAGTACTCCTCCAAGCGCGACCTCTTCTTCCTCCTCTGCGATTCCGTCCTCATCGATGGCGGCAAGATGGTACCACCCTCCTTCCCCCTCGAATCGACCGATCTATTTCCACTTCTCTATCTCGATTATATGTTGTTTCTCTTTAGGGTTGTATTTGTGCGATTAGTGGTTTTACCCCTGTTTTCTTCCTTAATTGATGAATTCGGATCTCTGTGTGGAATTTATCCAAGATGAAAGGACAACCGTGATCTTGCAGATTTCGCGTCACCGAACCGATCATCCTCCGTCGAGTAGACCGCATTTAGGGATTCCGTATGTAGTCGATGATCGTTGATGTTTGTGTTGGTTTTGCAGAGTTTCTGGTTGGAGAGGTCCAGTGGGGTCAAGTGCTACATGCTCTCCGCCTCTGCGCTGTCCATCATATGGGGAGACACCCCCCAATACTGGAAGTGGGTTTCCCTGCCCGATTCCAGGTATCTACTTCTCCTCCTTCCTCCTCCTCCTCATGAATAGACAGTGGTTGTGTTGAGAAATGAAGCATATGCGATACTGTTACATAATATTACATGCTTTGAATTGTGTTTTAGCGCGTTCCAAACTATACAACCTTAAAGAAATGGTTCTTGTGGTTGTGTTTTTGATTTCCTGTGTGCAAGGTTCTCAGAGGTCCCCCAACTGCTGGCCGTATGCTGGTTGGAGATTCGTGGGAGGATCCAGAGTAAAATGCTCTCCCCGAGAACAACTTACGCTGCCTATCTTATCTTCAAACTAGCTGATTCGTCGCGTGGTCTCGGCCATCCACCCCACGAAACATCCGTCACGGTTGGAGCGCAATCATCCACCAGAGCGATCCGCTTGCAGCCCCGTGGCACGGATAGGCACGCTTTGAGGATGGTGAACTTTCCAGGAGGAGCTCCCGAAGCGGAAGAGGAGGAACTCGGTGGGCGGGCAAGGGAGGACGGGTGGATGGAGGCGGAGATGGGCGAGTTCTACAATGAGGACGGGGAGGACGAGGAGGTGGTGATGAGTTGGATGGAAGTGAAAGGAGGGCATTGGAAGAAGGGTCTCATCGTCGAGGGCATCGAGATAAGGCCTAAAACTTTGGCCATATAGCCTTACGTAATTGTATCGTCTTCCAAAGAATAATCCTAAATAATTTGTCACAAATGTTTTCCAATTTGAAAACTAAGTCATAACAGCTTGGCATTAAAAAAAGATTTGGGGTGAGAGAGGCTCGAACTCTCGACCTCAGGATTCCTCAAATAAGCTATGAGACCTACGCGCTAACCAACTGCGCCACCACCCCTTGTGATCCTGATGTTGGTCGGACAGATAAGATTATTTGGGTTGGACCGAGATGATGGCTATCAATATAAAGATATAATATAATCCTATTTTAATCTTCATCTCTCACACATTAATATTTCATTACAAAATGATACTCTACTCGTGTCTTCTCTGCTAATGCATCATCCTACTACTCGCCATGCTTACTCCCGCAGTCTGCACCTCCACCATCGATCCCATCATCTGTCGTCTTGTTTTGGTCTAAATCTGTGTGCCCATACACTTCCATGACCGTTCATCGTCTATCTCAAGTACGTATTGCTTTGTACAAAAGAATGTCAATTACTAGTATTGCAGTCACAATGACTGTCATATCAACTAGTTCATCATATGCCATATACTTTTAGCTGTGTTGCCCGTGCCAAATTGATTGAGCTCATATGGCGTCTCTACTTCTCGTATAAGGTTCGTAGCTTCGCTTCGGCAACACTGGATCAATTTTTATTCTCTCTCTATGTAGACTCGTCGTCATTAATATTTTGATTTCAGCAGGTCGAATTGGCGACAGACAAGCAATTAAAACCGAGCGATGGAAGTGACAGACTAATGTTAAGGCGTTCCTGTTCGAACACCTGATCGCAAAATGAAACGGCAATATCTCTATCGTCTTCGTTGGACGAAGGTATCGGTGACCAAGAACGTGTGGGTCTAAACCCTGTCATTGTTTTAAAAAAAAAGATTAACTTGCATTTTTATTAAAAGTGTATATAAATTAATATACACAATGAAAAATTATAAAATAGTAATTATAATTTTTTAAAAAATTAATAATATATATAATATTTATTTAAATCATTTTGTAATATAGGAGATGAGATCATAGTCCAATTATAATAATATGCTATCATAAATGTTATGATTTAGAATTATTATAATATATTATTAACAGAGAGGATCATAATTTATTTATCTAAATAATATCCTTCCTAATATACCCCTATAAGATGGTGCTTCAATCAAAGACATTGTCGATGTGTGCATCCAAGTTGATGCGTCCGACCTACAAACATGGAGCGTTCAGCAGAAACCTAACTCGCAAGATGAGATTTCGAACGCTCCTGTGTCGGATGAACTAAACGACGCGTTTCGAGCCTCTCTTGCAAGTGCCCCGAAGCATGTTTTTGGAAAGAACAAATGATAGGAAATCTATTATCAGCTGACAAGTGGTTGTCACTTGAGATCTAAGTGACCCTCCACTCACATTCAAAGCAAGGAAACAAAATCATCTTTCTTGTCCGCTATAATAAGGAAGACAATTACTAGGTTCTTTCTCATCCATTATTATAAAAAAAAGAAACCATAAGCTTTTTTCTCATCCGAAAGACAATCATAAGCTTCTTTCGAATCTATTATGATGAAGAAAGCAATCACAAACTCCCTTTCTTTAGGAAGGTATAAAAAACTTAAACCCAATATAAGAGATTTCTTTTAAACTATTCAAATATACATTTTGAGATCTCAAATTACTAATTTAAATATCGGAGGAATCGAATCGAAAAATCTCTCTCGGTCTTTACGTAGGTGACACCTTAGAAGTAACATTTCAATCTTAGAAGCACCGTATTTTTACATCGAGAGCATGATATTTTAATCTCAAACACATATCAAACATTTCTACACACAAGGGTCTCGACTGTGTTGGACTGACCAAGATGTCAATTATATATATATATATATATATATATATATATATATATATATATATATATATCACATTAATATCCTTGTAATAATCCTAAGTTAATGCTACTAAATACTAATCATACTTACTTAAGAACCTGAAAAGAAAAAGAACACAACTTTTCTCTGTTACTTCCACCAATTATTTAGAGGCGCTACGAACATCAATTTGACCTTCAATGTCATCGACGGATATTAACTCTAATTTTCTTATATGTGCAGATTCTTCAGCTATGCATGCAACTTTTCTCCTAACATAAAGAATTGAAAACTCTTTTATCCTTACAAAAACTCACTTGGCTACATTTATGCAACAAATGCACGAATTCAAACTCTCTTTCTTCTGTTAAGATAGAGTTCAGATTTTTAGTTGCAGCGAAAATGTCAAATCGAAAGAAGAACAGCAGAAAGTTTTGTACAACCGTCTCACTACCACTGTATAATATATATATATATATATATATATATATATATATATATATATATATATATATAATATCTCAAGTTAGACCCCAATTAGACTAATCATATCAAATTAAATTTTAATATTTTAAATTATTAAAGAGTAATTAAAATATATGAATTAAAGAATTTAAATACATGATCTTAAATTTAAAATTAATTAAATCATAAAAATTCATACATAATTCTTGAAATATAGATATATCTAATTAAATAAATTAAAACTTTTATGATAATTCAAAAATAAGAATTTTAATAATTAAATCAATCATGAGATTCACTGAAGCGAGATCATTATAAGTTAAATAATCATTCTAACATCACAAATCAATTATAATTATTTATTAATAATAAAATTTTAAAATTAAAATATTATTATGCATCATAAAATTATAACAATCATATTATCAAAGATTTCAAAACATGAATCAAAGTTGATTAGGAGGGAAGAGGAGCCCCTTTTATATAAGAAAGGATGAGATGGTAAGTAATAATTTATTTTTATTTTTAGTTTATTTTTATTTTACTTTCACACATGAAGATAAAAATATAATATTAATTTCTTATGGTTCACACACAAAAATAAAATATAAACTATTTACATCCTAAAAATCACATTCCTTATTAGGAAATAAATCAATTAATAGATAAGAGAATATCATTGATTGTTAGTTGATCTTATATTCCCTATAAATACTAATCTGAAAAGAAAAAAATATTAATATAAATTTGACTTCCAATGTCATTGACAAATATTAACTCTAATTTTATTATATATGCAAATTCTTCAGCTTTGCAATATGCAATTTTTCTCCTAACATAAAGAATTGAAAACTCTTTTATCCTTAGAAAAACTCACTTAGTTACATTTATGCAATGCGCCAAATGGAATTCAAATTCTCTTTCTTCTGTTAAGATAGAGTTCAGATTTTTTAATTGCAGCGAAATTGCCAAATCAAAAGAATAGCAACAGAAAGATTTTTACAACCGTATCTCTCTCACTGTATCTAAGTAGTATTCCCTTCCGCTGCCGATCCATTTCTCGCTTGCATATACGTGTTTCCAAATGCTCCAATTGAGGTGGCATCTCTCTCACTGTATCCACACTAAGTAGTATTCCCTTCCGCTGCCGATCCATTTCTCGCTTGCATATACGTGTTTCCAAATGCTCCAATTGAGGTGGCTCGTCCTCTTCCTCTCCGTCTTCTCCTTCGTTTCACTACGTGCTCCTGTGGCCATTGCAGCTGCCTCCATCGCGAGAACCATCGTCGTCAACCTCGAGGGCGGTGGCGATTTCAAGAGCATTCAGCAGGCGATCGAATCCGTTCCTGACAACAACAACAAGTGGACGAAGATTCACGTCGCTGCTGGCGTCTACAGGTAGGTTCTCCTTCCCTTGCTTTATACCTTGAAAGAGCTGGTCGTTCATGCGGTGGGGTAAGCAGGGAGAAGGTGAACGTGAAGAGCACCAAGAGTTACGTCGTACTGGAAGGAGATGGAGCTCAGACGACGTCCATCGAGTGGGGAGACTACAACGGCGACTCCAGTGGCCATGACACTAACACCAGTGCAACCTTCACGTCATATGCCTCCAACTTTGTTGCCAAGAGGATAACCTTCAAGGTTTCGCTGATCTATATCTCACAGTGTCTGGCCCGAGTAGCTAAAACAAGCATACAAATCAATCCATATACTGTTCATGGCCGTGAAGCGATCTAATCATTCTACTGTAATAATCGACGAAACAGGTTTATGTGCATGGATTAGGAGTTCAAACGAACGATTTGATGAGTCTATATTTGATGCAGAATACGTACAATGGATTCGCCAAACTGACCCCCGCGGTGGCCGCTTGGATTTTTGGAGACAAGTCTGCCTTCTACTATTGCAGCTTCATTGGGTTTCAAGACACTCTCGCTGATACGCTTGGAAGACACTACTTCAAGGGTTGCTACATCGAAGGTGTGACCGACTTCATCTTCGGATATGGCCAATCTATTTACGAGGTATCATTTTGATAATTTTAGATCATGTCTAAGTTACATCGATCCGACTCGACATGCAAATATAAATAATGCATGTCCTAATGATACTTACTCTGTACATACTCTCCTAGTTATCTCATTTAATAACAATTGCTCGTATAAGCCTCTTTTATCTTCAATTTATTCCTTCTATTGTGTACTTTTCAGATTGAAATATGTTGGTATTATATCTATTAAATTTGGAAGTTTTGACCTACAAATTTCGAAAATAGCTCTTTAAATCGACCTACTAATCAAATAAAACATGCATGAAACATGATTTATAGTTTCATATGTTCTATTATATCTATTAAATTCGGAAGTTTTGACCTACAAATTTCGAAAATAACTCTTTAAATCGACCTACTAATCAAATAAAACATGCATGAAACATGATTTATAGTTTCATATGTTGTGTCTGATCAAATTGTTGTGGGTCACGCAGCGATGCAAGATATCAACAGTTAAAAGCCTTGAGAAGCCAGGATATGTGACGGCTCAAGGGCGAAACAATGCCAGTGACAATAGTGGCTTCGTGTTCAAGTGGTGCACCATCTCAGGGCCTCAAGCAACTTACTTGGGGAGGGCATGGAAACACTACTCGAGGGTGATATTTTACCATACCTTCATGTCAGCCATCATTGTTCCAGAAGGATGGTATATTTGGTTTTCTAAAGGTTACGAGTAAGTTAACGAATGGTATTTCTATGTTTAACTTTTATTTATCGAAAAAAGATGATCTATTACTAATTATAATTGATTTTTCTAAGGTTTCTTAGCAAGTAATCAAGTG